CCTTCCAATCCACCAAATATTGCAGCCGACCCCTAGAAACACGAGAGTCGAGAAGGGCAGCCACCTCGTACACGTCGCTAGAGACAGTGCGAGCGGAAACGGGCCGCCCAAGGGGACAAGAGAACCGGTTACACAGCAAGGGCTTCAAAAGCTAGATGTGAAACGTGTTCGGGATACGCATGGAAGGAGGCAGGTCAAGGGAATAGGAAACAGGGTTAACCCTACGTAACACCTTGTAGGGACCAAGAAATCTGGGAGCAAATTTCATCGAGGGAACCTTGAGACGGAGGTTCCTGGAGGACAACCATACCCTATCACCCGGAACATAAGAAGGGGCCGCAACCCTACGGCGATCAGCAAACTTTTTCTGAGCAGCTGCTGAACGAGACAGCGCAACATGGACATGATCCCACGTCTTCCGCAAAGAGGCGAGGTGCTGGTCCAAGGCGGGCATTCCCTTGTTGGAGAACGCACCGGGAAGGACAGAAGGCCGAAACCCATAAGCAACCTCAAAAGGACTTAAGCCAGTAGACGAATGAGACACCGTATTCCTAGCAAATTCAGCCCACGGAAGGAGGCGAGACCAGTCATCCTGGTGCGCATTAGTGAAGCAGCGCAAATACAATTCCACAGACTGATTAGCACGTTCGGCCGCACCATTAGATCGCGGGTGATAGGAGGAAGAGAACGACAAGGAGACCCCCATCTCAGCACAAAAGCCCCTCCAAAACCGAGAGACAAATTGAGGACCCCTGTCAGATACGATATCCTGAGCTACCCCATGCAAGCAGAACACTTCTTTGGCAAACACCTGAGCTAACTGAACCGCAGAAGGCAGTTTCTTAAGCGGAATAAAGTGCGCCATTTTAGAGAACCTATCCGTCACAGTCAGTATCACTGTCTTACCATCAGAAAGAGGAAGGTCTACAATGAAATCCATGGATAAGTGGGTCCATGATTTCTTGGGTATAGATAGAGGCATCAGTAAACCCTGGGGTCTCACATTAGGGGATTTACACTGCGTGCAGACCTGACAAGCCTGAAAAAATCCACTACGTCTCGCTTGAGTGAAGGCCACCAGAACTGTTGAAGGAGGCCCTTGTAGGTTTTGGTAACCCCCGGATGACCAGCAGTGTTGGCAGTGTGAAATAAAGTTAACAACTTTTTTCTGTCATTTGCTTCAACGTATAGTTTACCAACCGGCGTCTCAGGGGGTGCTTGGGTTTGGTATGTCTTAATACTATCAAGGAAAGGTGACGAAACAACCAAACGGGTAGCAGCTATTATCTGAGACGCAGGTACAATAGGTTCAGGAGTCGGGTTAACAAATTCTACTGGTTCATGCTGTCGAGAGATAGCGTCAGCTTCGGCATTACGGCAACCAGGTCTATAGGTAATAATATATTGGAAGCGTGAGAGAAATAGAGACCATCTAGCCTGCCGGGCAGATAACCTTCTAGCATCAGCTATATAGGATCTGTTATAACCATAATTTTGTGTCTAGAACCCTCTAACACAATAGCTAATAGTTCCCTGTTCCCAACATCGTAATTCTTCTCTGGACAACCTTTTAGAAAAATAACAACAGGGATGGAGGGGTTTGTCATACGACAACCTCTGTGACAGTACTGCTCCCACAACCGACTCTGAAGCGTCTACTTCCATAACAAAGGGAAGAGAAGGATCAGGGTGGTGCAGCACTGGAGCAGAGGCAAATGCCTTCTTGAGAGTTTCGAAGGCCTTAAGGGCTTCAGGAGTCCAAACCCTAGGGTGTAGACCTTTTTTTGTCAGCTTCGTTATAGGAGAGATAAGTGGTGAAAAGTTTTTTATAAATTTCCTATAATAGTTGGCAAATCCTATAAAACGCTGGATAGCCTTCAGTCCTTGGGGAAGTGGCCAGGACAGTATGGCTTCCAATTTAGCAGGATCCATACTGAAACCCTGTTCAGTAATGATATATCATAGGAATTGTACAGAGGTCTGATCGAATAAAATTTTTTCTAACTTACAGTAGAGTCCGTTCTGTAATAGCCTTTTGAGCACCATCCTAACATGGTTATGGTGTGACTTCAAATCAGGAGAATACACAAGTATGTCGTCAAGGTACACCACGGCACAGACATGCAATAGATCCCTAAGGACATCATTTATGAGGTCCTGAAACACGGCAGGAGCATTACACAGTCCAAAAGGCATGACCAGATATTCGTAATGCCCACTGCGTGTGTTGAACGCTGTCTTCCACTCGTCATTCTCCTTTATACGGACAAGGTTATAAGCCCCCCTGAGGTCTAATTTGGTGAAGAATTTAGAACCTTTAACACGATCAAACAACTCAGTGATGAGGGGGATAGGGTAGGCGTTTTTAACCGTTATATTGTTCAGACCCCTGTAGTCTATACATGGCCTCAAATCGCCCTCCTTCTTTGCCACAAAGAAGAAACCAGCACCAGCAGGAGAGGAGGACCTTCTAATAAAACCTTTACTTAGGGATTCCCGTATGTACTCCTCCATGATCTGGTTTTCTTTCTCAGAAAGAGAGTAGACCATTCCCCTAGGAGGCATAGTACCCGGTAAGAGGTTTATGGCACAATCATACTCACGATGTGGAGGTAGCTTATCTGCCTCCCTTTTATCAAAAACCAAGGCAAGGTCTGCATATACAGAAGGGACAGAAACCGAGAGTGGTTTAGCCGTGGGCATGTTGAGTAAACAAACAGGACGTACGTGAGCCATACAGTCTCGTTGACAAGATTCCCCCCAGGAGAGTATATCTAAACAACCCCAATCAAGAACAGGGTTGTGTTTAACTAACCAGGGAAAACCCAGAACGATGGAGGCTGTAGGGGAGTCAATCATTTGGAAGGTTAACTTTTCCTTGTGCAAAACACCCACAGACATAACTATTTCCTGGGTTTCATGGGTCATCAGAGGTTTCTCCAGTGGTCTACCATCTATGGCCTCAACGGCCAAGGGTGTATCCTTTCAGATCAAATTCAGGGCTGCGGTTTTGGCAAAGGTCTCATCCATAAGGTTGTCTGCCGCACCTGAATCGATCAGGGCTTTGGTTGTTTTAGTGGTTTTATTGACCAAAAGAGAAACCGTAATAAACGGTCTGGAGATGGACACATGAGGGGACAAAGTCATAACACCCAAGGCCGACCCCTCTCTAGGCCTTAGGTGCTGCAGTTTCCCTGTACTTTAGGGCAGGCATTACAGTGGTGCCCCCTCTTCCCACAATAAAGGCATAACCCCTCCCTTCTACGGTACGCTCTTTCGGCCTCAGTTAACCCTGTAGCACCCAACTGCATGGGTTCAGGGGATGGTTGCCTAGGAGCGGGTAATGCTAGCAGTGCAGTACTGGGTAGAGCAGGTAACACCCGTGTATCCAGCCGTCTTTGACTATGCCTCTCTCTAATACGGTTATCGATAAGAATCATATAGTCTATAACATCATC